ATTACGATTCTTACCTATTTGAATATTTTTTATATGTATGCTTTGAATATGTTAATATTTTTAATTTCCTATTTTTAACGTTAAGGTGTACTTGGTTCTAATTATATTTTGTTAAATTGGATAAAAGTATTTTTATTTTTTTATTTTTAATTTTTATTTCTGTGTTTTTAAATTGTATTTACCCACATTATCATTACTTTGTTTCGTTAATTGTAAAAATGTTTATTGAATTGACCAAGCCAGAATACAGATTTGTAATTTGAAAAGTCTTGATTTTACGATTTGTAAAATTTATTCGCAAATGAAAATAAGCTATTTTGTAATAGTTTTAAATGTAAAGCATTGGATACACGCAACCCAACATGCACCCCTGTATGAACACATTGAATACGTATAAGAAGCGCATTTAATGAATTTGTTCATAGATCTGAGATCATTATTAAAGAAATATATTTCAAAGCAAATGTGTGCATAAATTGAAAAATATTTTTTACTCTGAATAATGCATTGATGTTACAGCATATTTTTATTTATTTGTTTATTTTTATTTGAAATGATTTTTTTTTCAGGTTTTATGGCTTTTAGAATTTCGGGAAAATAATGGTTTAAAAATTGATTGTCATTTTTGTCATAACTCTAAAAATTTACAAATGGCGTCATGGCCGCTAGCAGTGGTGGAGTAGAATGGTCTGCTGTTATAAAAACATTTTTATCTTCAGAATTTGGAAAAGGAAATAAAGCAGATGTGATTGAATTATGTTCTGCAATTATAAAAAAGTGAGTAAGGCGTGAATGCGTTTGTGTCAAATCGTTATTGTGTAAAATTGCGCACTATTTTTTTTCCATATTTTTGACATTCCGCGATATTTTTCATTGTGATATTTTATTTTTTAGCGAAAGTGAGATTCTACGTTACAAAGACAGTAATAAATCATTCTATAATTCCTTTGTGGTGTTAGCCGTATCTTTAATAACCAGCAATGCACGCCGGCGTAAGTCTTTCTTCGTTTATTAGAAATTTACGATGTTTCTTTCCATTAACTTCTAATGATACCAAATTCACTCTGCTGTTGTCATTGAATTATTTTCTTTAAAAGACGATAGACGTAATTATAATTTCATTCTTGCTTGTTTTGTTTTAGTAACTGTCAGTCAACTGGAAGTAGTAAATGCTGCTTGTCGTGTTCTGCTTAAATATTTGCTTAGTACTTTGCAAGGAGTGAGTCGTGAAGGCAATCCTAGCAGTTTACAGGCAGAGCAATTCTTGAAGGCAATAAAGGCATTGTGCTTAGGAACTGAATTTTTATCTTCTGATGAATTATCTGTGTTAACCAACACTATGAAAGGAGATACGGTCACAGGACACTCTCCCTCAGGTATGACATTTTAAATAATTAAGTATTTTTAGTTTTACCTTCTGTTATAAATATGCACTAGTAGTGCAACTTATAAAAATCATGTGTATTAAAAAGTAATATATTGTCTTTATTGATATAGGTTTTAAGGGTATGAAAGCATTATTGGTATAAATTTTACAGTGAGTTATCACTGCTTGTCTTTTTATTTTGCACCATAGCATGAAAAAATAAAATCTGCAGCATTGTGTTCATGTCATGGTCATGGTTGTGATAATTTTTATCATTTTTTTTTTAAATTTTATTTGTTTTAGGGACGGACAAGGAAACTTCTAATAAACAGGACAGTTCTAAAAGTAGAACCGATCTATCTGTCAGTATATTTGAGCAACTCACTATGCCTCTAAGAGATGGTCATACTGTCACCTCAGAGGCTAGCTCAAGTCAACCTAATGTCAATGAACCAGTCTCAACTAGTGATCCAACAACAGAAATAAATGTATGTCATTTGCCTTTTACAAAAAGAATTTTACAGATTTTTTTATATTTAATTATGTTAATTATATATATTATAGAAGTTATTCTTGGTGGCAAATACAGAAAGTTTGCAAGCTCTTAGAGCAGGTGATACTTTGGCTGATCTGTGTCTCAGTTTGCCAGCAATTAAACGTGCCCGTACAAAAGTAGAAGAGGCTTTGGCTGGAAAACCATTCAGTTTACCAACCACACATTCTGAGGCTTCTATCATTCGGAGCAGGTAATGAGATTTTTTTTTGTATAAATAATAGAGTTAACGTATCTTTCATGTGTTTGATGCATTTAAATGTTTTTTTAAGTCTACCTTCGACAATGGCTGATATATCCCTGGCGTCCTCGGCAATCAATCTACCTGTCCTGGAGCCTTTGACGCCGAGTAAATTGGACAAACTATGCAGCTTGAGTATGGCAGTGTTGCAATGTGCAGTCGCGCAAGCTGCAGCAAACGCCATGTTATCGTTAGGACCTGCAGTGTCGCCCAAATGTACATCTGCTCAAGCACAAGCCGTCAAAGATGAAGATCTTGATGCGAACGCTGTTGCCCTCGTTGAAGAATCTCTCAACATATTCACCTTCGTCGGTAATACCATTAAGAATTCCACGCGAGCTGGAGGACATGTAAGTAAATTTGCGGAAATGTATAGCACCTTTATTGAAATAATATACGAATATTACGATTCTTACCTTTTTAGGTTTATCAAAATCATCTATTAGCTGGGGCATGGGTATTAATATCGGGCCTTCAATCCCATCTGAATAATAGCATGAATATTGCAAGTGAGAAGGGGTCACATGCTAAAGAACGCGACGAAAAAGGGCGTAGTCCTAGTAAAACACGTGAAGCTGGATCTTCTCGGTCAAGTTTGATCAAGTTTCAACAATCTTTTGGAGTTCTGTCGGTGGCCCTTGCCAGCAAGGCGATATCCTTGCTGTCTGAACTATTTGAGGACTTGTATTTGGAAGTTTGTGGTGGAGGAGGTAACACATTACAGGTAAATTACTTAAATGTAACATTAAAATCTGCAATTCCTAATTGTTTTGTCGTTTATTTTGATATAATTTTTAAAGTAGTTTAAAAGGTTGTTTTTTATTTTTATTTCTTGTCGTTACATTTGTACAGTTGACTATTATATTTTTAAAATTTCTTTTTTAACATTTACATTACAGGTCGAACCTGCTCCCTTAGCCATTATGGGCCAGTTCACAGCACTGCAAAGGGTGGCTAGACTTTTAGGCGCGGCACCCTTGAATCAGTTGCTTTTTTATCTTGCAACAGTTAGTTACAGGAAAGCTTGTACACTGAAACGAATTCATCCACCTGAAGGAGACACCTACAGTCAAAGTGATTCAACTACTTATTACGAAGACATGATTATGTGTTCTGACGAAAGTTCCACAGAAGGTGATTAAGAAATTTTATCTGCAATGGTTTTTTATTAATTAATTTCTAGTCACTTAAGCATAGTGTGAGCTAGAATATAATACTAATTATTGTTTTTTTTTTTAAGTTTAAATTAATTTTAGTTTATTATACAATTAGGTAAAGATTAGGGTTTTTTCTTTGGATAAATAAAATAAGGATAAATTTTCCAAATTAGATGACGATAGTGAGCCTATATTGGGTCAGTGGTTTGAAGCAACCATAGCCCCGCCGGAGCCGTCAGAGCCTGTAAAGCAGACAGCCACGTCTGATAATCAAGACAACAAACAGGCTGGTAGTTCTGGTCAACATGCCGGTGAACGGAGCCATTCGATCGTGCCTGAGAAGGGCGAAGCTCATGGCTACATATCACTTTCGACTCAGATATTTGTCTTTCTTAATCGACATTTCTTGTGTTCGAAGAGCGCTTATGTAACACGCTACGTCAAAGGGGGTTTATCAGAACAGCAGATGGTTATTTTGGCTGCGATCATTAGGGACTTAGATAGGGAAACCGCTAGGACCGAAGTCGGTGAGTAAATATAGCACATTTAGCATAATATGAATCTGAAAAAAAAAAATAAACATGAAATTAATAGTATTTTTTTGTAAAAGATTTAATATTTGTTTACTTTTTTTTTAGGAACAATATCGGTATATTTTGGCGCAGCCTTGGGACAATTGTATTGTGAATTTTCCGGTGCTTTGACGCGTTTTACTCATAATCTGATAACGCATCCTGGTCTTCAACATCTCCAGACCAGTTTACTGACTCACTTGGGCATATCACCCTGGAACACCGACGTGCCCCATTCGTGGCCCCTTCAGGTTTATTCGCGATCTTTAGCTGTTATCTGTGTTAACCAACACTATGAAAGGAGATACGGTCACAGGACACTCTCCCTCAGGTATGACATTTTAAATAATTAAGTATTTTTAGTTTTACCTTCTGTTATAAATATGCACTAGTAGTGCAACTTATAAAAATCATGTGTATTAAAAAGTAATATNAGTTTACTGACTCACTTGGGCATATCACCCTGGAACACCGACGTGCCCCATTCGTGGCCCCTTCAGGTTTATTCGCGATCTTTAGCTGTGCTAGCTCAGGTAAAAAAACAATTGAAATTCATAAATAACCACAGTCATGCGCTAAACGCGATATTATTGTAATTATTTATCAGTTTTTGTTAATTACTTAAATTTGTTATAGCACATGTTTCTAATTCTAATTATTTCAGGTTTTGTTATTGAGACCCCAGAACGAGAAAGAAGCAAGCGTGATTAGTATATGGCATAGAGTTGTTAATACTCTTATTGAAAATGTGATAAATCCACCTCCAATGCTGGATACAGATAACGAAGGTGAGTTTTTGTTTATATCTGTTAATACATTGCTAATGTAAAATAAAAACGTCATTTTTATGTTCTTGTTTGAAATGTTATTTCTTTTTTGCAGATATCAATGTTGAACATGCTCAAGTACTGCTGTATTTATTTCACTCATTAAATTTGATGCAGAAAAAATCTGTGGTTTTGCTGATGGCTGGCGGCGTCTTACGATGCTCGGAGGTGGCTGGTGGTCCTCTACGTGACTTTCAGCTGCTTCACTTATCACGACTGTTACTTCTTTTTGATTACATAATGAAACATCTATATGACGCTCCAGCAATTCTTCTAGAACAGGTCAGAAAAATGTATTATTTTATTTGTTTGTAAATTTTCCAAAACTACATACACTTAACTTTTTTAAAGACAAAGCTAAGCAATCATTAATTAAGTACTTAACAAAATACATGAGAATGTTTCCTATGGAATAAATAAAACACAATTGATTGGAGATTCACTCAGATTCAGGTGCAATGTAATTTGAATACAAAATTTGTATTTGCATTTATTAAACTAGAAAAAAGTTGCTAAGCAAAACCTTAAAGTTGGTCGTAGCCACCTGTACATAAGTAGAATTGTATCATAACTCCTATGTATGTTAAAGATTTTTGAGGACAAGAACTATTACACATATACTTGTCTTTTTTCTTTTTCATTTTTTTAAATACTTTTTTTATATAGATCCAATGGAATTTATTTTATTCGACTAATTTAAATACTGATAAGGATAAAGAAAATAACATGTCGCGTATGTTCACACCATGGAAGGAAATAGAGGATAATTACCGAAAGTTGGCCGGAAGTGATGAGTTTTCGATGAAGCCCTGTTTTTACATGCTGACAAATGTGGAAATTAGTAATCAAGACGCACCAAAACTCGATGGTCTTGCGTGCAACTTTGTCTTAGGAACCCCCGACAAATTGCGGTATCCTCTTCTTTTAGACGCTCTCATCGAAATTCTGAATGTAACGCACATTACATCGGGGACAGGGGCGGCTAAGATGACCTTTTTAGGATTATGTGCTACACAATATTGTTTTTCCATCTGTTGGCGGTGAGTTAAATAACAAAAAATTCTTAGTTTTTCTTTTTTTTTTTTAGAAAATGTTGGTACATTTTGTTTCTTTTTCTAGGCTATTGCAGTTGTTGCCACCTTCTACTGCTAATATGGAACGGCTGTCCACTGGGGAGACGCTAGTTGCCGGACCTCAATTACTTCATTCGTTGGTCTGGGGACCACGAGCTGGACATAAGAACTTTAATAGGTGGTTGAAAGACGCTCTGGTCAAACAAGGGATGTACACAGTTGTCGCTGAGAAGTTACTAAAGGCTGTATCGGAAGCGGTTAATACTCTGAAATACGATGTCACCACAGCCAAAAGTTGCATTATAGCTCTAACACCGGACGTAAAAAAAGGTAATTAACTATTTTTTGTTTTACTGTGCCTATTTATCCGTTTTATTTTATATTGGTGGTTTGTTTAGGAACCGTTTCTAAGGAAAGTTTGCCCCCTCTGTGGCATTTGTTCATTTTGGACTCGGTCCTAGCCAAAGTACAGATATCGCTGATAGACGAAGCGGAAACGAACCTTGCGGACGCTTCTGGTGTTACCATTTCCGGAGCAACATATGTTCAAGAATTATTACCCCACGTGCTAAGATTAACACGGGCTATCTTACATTGCACCAGGTAAAAATCAGGATTTAAATTTGTTTTGGTTATTTTAATTTTATTAATGTACAGATGGGCACTACTGCACAGTATGGTTCAACAGAGCGAGCCAGCTGGAAAGTACACGTTGCAGGACTTTGAAAGTCTACAAGAAGTCCTTGCAATTGCCTCCAGTCAAAATACTTTAACTTGTGCCCTCGCCACTGAATTGAGTTCACTTTTACCATCCGCTGCCACCACCGTACTGCAACAATGGAGCGTTTCGACGCTTGAAGAGTGCACCTGGGTAAGAAATAAAAATCGTCAAGAATCAAATGAAAAAATTTATAATATGGAAAATTTATATCGTTTTTTGTGTATTTGTTTTAATAGACTCCCTACTTAAACGATGTGATCCCATCAGAAAGTTATATACTGAAAATAGTAGAAATCCACACGTCCACCCTATCAATGAGCTATCCTTTCAACGTAAACTGTTCTCTTAAACGTCTCCTTCAGTGCTTGGTGAAGTTTATTTGTCAGCACGCTCCTAAAATTGATAACACTGACACCAAAAATAAAGCCATCGAACTTCTGGTGCTTGTCACCCTTGATGTCCGCACCGAATTCCTTCACGAGACTGTTTCTAAAACTTTGGACAAGATGATTGGAGACACAGAAACAGACGAACATCAGAAACGTGTATATCTTCACTTTCTAGAGCATTCATACAAACTTATTACCAGATGTACTCAGCAGCAGCTTTCACAACAAAACCAGGACGTGGGTTATAGTAATATTTCTAATTGTAATACGGTCGTTGACGAGAAGGTGCTGCACAGTTGTCTGAAGTTCTATGAGAAATTGTTAGAAAAGTCTTCGGGACGACAGGCATTGGAGACGTTCTTTACCGGCGACAGAGATTTGGTAAAGGTATTAATGTCGGTCAGTAGTCCCCAAATCTCGCAGCAATACAGCACCAAAGTGCTGAACTTCTTTAATAGATTGTTCCAAGCCGCGGAGAAGAGCTCAACTGATCCCAGTTTAAACTATCTTTGCAGTAGTATGTGCAAGTTGGCGGATGTTGACAGCGATAAATTGCAGGTATTTTTTTTTTTGCTTCTATTACTTTTTGATTTTTGTCTCATAAGTAGGTGGTGAAGTTAAATTTTGTTTGTTTTAATAGTCGTTGAAATTTAAATGTTAATTTATGATAGAATATTATATATAAAAGAAATGAGTGCTGTCGGCACAGAGTAAAGTAGTATTACGTAGTTATTATCAGCAATTTCTTATGCTGAAGTGTACGATGTGTTGCATACCTATTTACAAACAATTCCTTTAAATTTAGTTTTTCAAACAATTTTTAACACAGTGAAAGTGATTAAACAAATTTTTCACAAAAGTGAATTTCGACTACTCGAAGCAATGGTGCTAACAGTTTCGAATTTACATTGACTGAAAAACTAGTACTAAATAATAAATTAAATTTAACAGAGACGAGCTAAAAAGAAACAAGGCGTTGTTTTTTCCATGAATGTATTGTTAATAATTTTATTAAACGTTTATTGATCATTCATATTGTTACTTCAAAAGAGATGAATTAATCTAATTTTATTTTTGAAAGGTCTGGCTACGCCACGTCATTTTGGGTCCAAACAATATGGAATCAAGCACATCTTCATCTATAGCTCACACTCCGACACTCGTTCCCGTCAAATCAGACTCAACAAAACCGACTGCCTCCGCCTCAAATGCGACAACAAACAAACCAGATGCAACGGCTTCTTCTAATGTAGGAAGTGGCGCCCAGTGGGTGTCAACAGCGGCCCCGCCGAGCACCGAATCGAATGTTTCTCCTACTCCCAGTGACGACCAAAAATCTCTGGTTCAAGAAAACAGCCAATTGTTACAAGCCCTTACGTCATTTATCGTGAAACAAGGGAATAGTATGTCTGAAGATGTAGCTTTAACAATATTAAAGGCACTTTTGCCTCTTGGTTCACATATTTTGTCCCCGGCGCTCGAAGGCGTCGGTTTTACCGATCTAATGGTTGTAATGACCATGTTAGCGGATGCAGGATCAGGCAAAGGTCATGTACATTTATTCCCTGCCACTGCGGAATGGCTGGAAATTTGTCGGCAGTTTTTCGCACGAAAAGACGTAGTCGAAAAGTTGGCCGGAACTGGAGGAACATCTTCAACGTCAACTGAAGACTGCGGTACGAACAATAATAGAAGTACAATCATGTTGGACGCGGCGTGCTGCCTGATGGATTACGTGGGCGATGTTGTTGGAGGACTGACCAATCAGGCTCAAGGTAAAATGTCTATAAATATATTTAGGAATAAAGTTTACGTGATCTTTGTCATTAGGTCCCACGATTCGGCCATTAAGTCCACCATGGGAGAGCGAGATGCCATTGGACGTAGATTCCGAGTGGCCTGACGAAACCAACGAGGATGAAGACAGCGGCGATGATTCGGATGAAGATTCGCTCTGTAATAAACTGTGTACATTTACAATAACACAAAAAGAGTTCATGAACCAACATTGGTACCATTGTCACACGTGTCGTATGCTTGATGGCGTCGGTGTGTGTTCGGTTTGCGCCCGCGTGTGTCACAAAGGTCATGACCTTAGTTACGCCAAATATGGTAACTTTTTTTGCGACTGCGGCGCTAAAGAAGACGGCTCATGCCAGGCGTTGGTGAAAAGAAGCCCTCAATCAAACGAGACGGTAGGAACCAGCGGTACCACAACTAACACAATGGGTTACGCCCCTGAACAACTTTTGTCTAGTTCATTGCGACGTAGGGCGTCGTCTCCTGCACCCACAACCACCACAGAAAAAAGTACCGTTTTACATAAAGACCGCCGGAAAAATGGTAATGTGGCGAAGCAGCTTGAAGGTGCGAAGGATTGGTTATATAATTACTTAGGAAGTAGTTCCATACCTGGTGTATTGTTAGAACTGGCGGAGTCTTTGGTTCCAGTGGTAGAAAAGACGTGCGCGCGTACATCCGCTGTCGGTTGTCACGCTCGTGCGCTTAAAGCCGTTCAGCAGCTTCACTCGGCTGAAAAGAAGTACGTGCACACTGATCAACTGATGGTGCCGACTTTAGGGTCCCAGGAGGGCGCGTTCGAGAACGTTCGCATGAGTTATTCGGGCGAACAGGGTCAAACAATACGTCAATTATTGTCCGCGCACATTATAAGACGCGTTGCGATGTGTTGTATGTCATCTATACACGGTCGTCGGCAGCATTTGGCTGTGTCTCATGAAAAAGGAAAAATTACGGTCCTGCAATTATCTGCTTTGCTAAAACAAGCCGATTCGTCTACCAGGAAGCTAACTTTGACCCGTCTAGCTTCGGCTCCGATTCCATTTACAGTCCTCTCTTTATCCAGTAACCAGTGTAACGAGGATTATTTGGCAGTGTGTGGATTGAAAGACTGTCACGTGCTGACGTTTACATCCACGGGTTCGGTATCAGATCACCTAGTGCTTCATCCACAGCTTGAAACAGGAAATTTTATTATAAAGGCCATCTGGTTGCCGGGATCGCAGACGAAGCTAGCACTTGTCACGGCTGATTTTGTGAAGATCTATGACTTGTCCAAAGACGCCTTAAGTCCACAGTATTACTTTTTGGTACCGAGTGGCAAGGTACGCGACTGTACATTTATTTGCGACGAAGATGTTTACAATATATTGATAATGTCGTCCCCTGGACACATTTATACCGAATTTTTGAACGAAGAAAGTTCAGCCAAGCATGGTACTTTTTATGTGACCAATACTTTGGAGGTGTTTCATCTGGACGTTACGGTTAGTGCATTCCTTTTTTTTATTTTTTACGCTATAATAAAGCTTATCTTTTTAATAAAACAAACTTTGTATTTTTTCTAGGACGTGAATGGTCAAGTTGCAGGCGGAGGCGTTAGTATCTATTATTCTCACACTTTAGGCCTGCTTTTTTACAGCTACGCACAAGGGAAGAGCTTTATTTCCCCCATTAAACCAAAGAGTAATTGTCTCTCTGTTGTTTTCCCCATCACCTTATCATCTCAGACTTCGTCGAGTTCAAAAAGCAATGGCAGTAAAAATCCAACACCGCAACCTTTGTGTCAGTGGACGGAAATCCCAAATCACCCAGGACTTATTTGTTCTGTTATGCAAAGCAGTAAGTAATAAATAAATTTTATGAGGAAAATATGAAAAGGCGATTCCAGAGAAAATAAGTTAGTTTTATTATTTATTTAATGGGTAAGGTTTAGTAAATTTATTATAGGTAACAATCCGGTCATTATAATGCTAAAACCGGATACAGTGGCTATTCAGGAGATCAAAGTGGTACCTTCTAAGTCAAAAATAATGGATATGGTTGCCATTCGTCATGTTTCTGGCAATGAACAAAGAACAACATTGATTCTACTATGCGAAGATGGAAGCTTAAAAATATATATGGCCAATATGGAACAAACAGGTAAACTAAAGAAAATTTCTTTTGTATGAAAATATAAGCCCTACCTTTGTTTAACATTTTTGGTAGACTTTTGGATGTCTTCGAATATACAACCGGCTTTATCTTTAACTACGGCCAAACCACGTAAAAAGAAGATTGTGAAAACTGGCAAGTCTTCAGGTTGCGTCAGCTTTCCAGTAGACTTTTTCGAACATTGTCAACCCATGAACGATGTTGAGGTCGGAGGCAATGATCTTCTTCAGGTTTATAATGTCACCCAACTGAAACATCGATTAAACGCAACGGGTCTTTATGTTGTGTGCACGAAACCTATCGGTTTTACCGTCGAAATTACCAATCCGGACAATAACATGGTGATGACAGGTATATTTAAAATAAGTAAAACTAAGTAGTTTAATGTTCTATTGATTCTTTTTGGATTGAAGGTGTTAGGGTGGCGGTTGGTAGCCAAGATCCCCAAAGGTCGCCGTCTTTTATAGAGGTATTTGGCCGTATTATAACGGTTAGTTGCACTCGTAGCAGGTGGTATGACGTGCCCTTTTCAAGAGAAGAAAGCCTGCAGGCCGACAAAAAACTCACCATGATGTTCGGTCCCTCACAAGACCCTGAAACTGTTACCATGGTGGACAGTATCAAAGTGTATGTTTTTCCTTTTTCGTTATTAGTCTCATATTTTATTATCTGTCCTTATTGAATAGTTATGGTAAAACAAAAGAGGCGTTTGGTTGGCCCGAAGAAAATGAAGACACAGTAGCGAACAACGCGACAACTTCTCAGTCAGTGGCTGTTTCTTCGAATAATGAAGCTGAACAGCTAAAGACTCCACTACCGTTGACGAATTTAGAAAGGTAGAATGGTCTCTTTTGTGTTAGCTGACTTATTTGTAACAATATTTTTTTAATTCTTGTAGACTTGTCGTTGGCATCTTGGAAGTTTTAGACAACAGCTTTACTCTTTGTTCCTCTGATGGAAAGATGTCACTTCACAAACCATTGTCAATTAAAGTCACTACTACCCTTCTAACATTACCGTCATCGCCTTCGCTTCAAATTCATTCTAAAGCCCTACTTTCGACTCTGCACTCCACTAAACAAGCTTACCATAATTATAAGGTAAGATAATAATAAAAAGATGTTTGACACATAAAAAATGTGCCATTTTGTTGTTATTACAGGATCACGCTTTATTGCAACATGTGCTAACAAGTTTAACTCATATGACGGAAACAGATCCTAAAAATTATGGGGATATTGATCCAGAAAGTTATTACCGTTTAGTGATGATTGCAAGAGGCATTGCAGTTTCTAGGCCTCAGAATCTCGTCAAATTTTGCGATTCCCAGGCGTTTATTCATGATGTTGTTTTAGAAGACCCATTAGGTAAGTCTTTTATAAAAGAGGAACTTTATGATTCAATTTCAGTCCATGTAACATTTAAATACAAGAAAGTATATTCATTTTATAAGAAATTTTGACGTACTTTAAAGAATTCTAATTGTGGTCAAAATACTTTTATTAATAAATAAAGATTAGTTTAATAGAAATGGATCATTCAGTATTTTTTTGTATATTTTATATTTTCAGACATCAAATCGACTCCTACTAAAACGTCGAAGAACAAACACCTTTTACTTCAATTAATGGACGTGCTGTGGATTTTACATTCGCAACGAGTTGAGAATGTCTCCTTGGCCCCCCTCGTGTCTCCTGGATTAAAGCACGTGGAACAAACGGTTCATGCAATAGTTGAAATTGTACATGCTTTTCATAGTAGCGAAGCACACGGTAATGTCACCTACGGGAACATCGTTGTGGCCGTTTACCTTCAACTCTTGCTTTGCGAGGACTCTGTGATCGCGTTCAGCGCAAAACAGGCGCTCAGTAGAGTGCTTAAACCCAAGACACGACGTCGAAGAGTATTTATACCGAGCCCGCCTCATTGCACAACACCTCCGGCAAGTAAGTGTGGCTTTGTAATGATTGGTCTCAGCATAGTAAAATATTTTTGAATCTATAATAGAAACAAGTATCGAGATGGAAGAGGACAAACCGCCAAGAGCTTCGACTCAGTCCAGCCAAGAAGACGAGGGCCAACCAAGAGCGTTACGTTACGATGTGGACTCTGTAGAATCAATAGGACTGTTGCAACAGGGCACAGGTGCTCCTGAACATCAGGATAACCACAATATAAACCCTTTGGAGGCACTTTTGGGTGGAGGAGCAGGTTTTCCTCCCCTTTTGGACATCCCCCCAGATGCAGATGACGAGACCATGGTGGAATTGGCTATTGCGCTTAGTCTTCAAGAACATGAACTTGGAGGAGAGATACAGCAAGCTCAACAGGAACTAAGAACCTTACAGGTAATAGTCTTTTTTTTGTTGACAAATTGATTTATAGATCTACGATTTCATTCACTTCATTCTTTTATTTGAACTTAGTTAGGTTCTCATTAACAGCTGATTTTAAGTACACTATATACTGCAGTTGTTTCGGCCAACAGACCATTTTTAAAGAGAACATATATATATATTGATAATACAAATTTGTAACTGATTTCTACATAGTGTTTAGGACTTCTCATTTTACCTTTAACCCTATGTAAAGCTATAATAGTTTATCATTAATTTTCGTTATTCTCATTTAAACACAAACGAATGCGATTTTGTAATGCTTTCTCAATTTCTGAATGGATGTATGTATATTTTTTTAAAATTATCCTTTATTTGCATGTTCCGCTTTTGTCTGCTTGAGAAAATTAATATTATGATCGTTATGATTATTTTATTCATGGTGCTTAGTAGAGGTATAAAAAAGGACATTAATGAAATTGGAAACATGGATTAGAACAAAGAAAATCAACTGTTTCCTTGTTCTTGCAAGTTTTTGTATTTTCCACTTCATACTATACATCCTTGCATTCGTAAACCATTCGTAATCACCAACCTTAGTCGATATCTTGTGTCTTATTCAGTTTTCTCGTACGTAGATCGCCGTCATTTTAACGCGTCATTTTCGCATTTTTCTTCTTTTCTCTCTGTGCCGAGAGAGTCGTGTTTTCTCTGAGAAAAACAAAAAATAATAAAACGAAAAAAAACGAAGCGAAATACTTGAAAACTGTTGTACGCGTAGGTATCTGGCGGCGGTGGTCACGCTCAGGAGACCGGCCATTACAGCGACACAACGGCCTCGGCAGCCGGGTCCGATGATGAGGGCAGCACCGCCGCCACGGACGGCTCTACCCTGCGCACCTCCCCAGCCGAACAAGTATGTCTCTTGTAGAATATTATATTGTACTTAATATTTATCACTTTGATCAAAATACTTGGATGTTTTCTTTGAAAAACAAACATTACCCAGTGACTTAGATAAAAAGATTAAAAACCCCCTAGCATTTTAGCAGAAGCATGCTATTAAACTTCTCTGTGAAGATTTAAGACTATTTTTTAGTTTTTTAACCAAGGGCGGGAAAATTATTATGTAATTTTCATTTAAAACTTAATATAATTAACCAACCAGAGAGCATTTTCTTCGATATGTGTATAAGCTTGGACATTTTTTATTTGCAGTAAAGAAGGTGTGCTCTATTTTAGAAGATTAATTATTTTAATATTTAAATGATACTTAATCAGATACAAACATTTTTAAACACTAAATGGCATGTGATATTTTATTATTAATTAATTATAATATTAGATATGCTGACTGAATAATTCATAACTTATTTTTTTCTGTTATTAAAGAACTATCGGTGAACACGTGGCCTTTTTATTTTTGCGTCCAAGTCCTTACTGACCGATTGCATTCTCTCTTTGTCTATTGAAATCAATTAACCAATATCTCTGTTTATTATACTCTTACTAATCTGCTGTTATTGATTCCTCTTATTTTTTGATAATTTATTGTTTGAAGTTGTACTGAAATTGCGCGTTTTGTTTTCGTATATTTGTAGGGTGGCAGCGCAGGATCAGAGAGCGGAGGAAGCGGCGTTGAAAGTATTACAGGAGAGCACAATGCGTCGGGACGCAGTTCTGCCTACGGCGACAACATCCAGGAAGCAACTAATTTAATATCGCGTTCTGATACTAGTTCGTTAACTAATGCGAATTGTCAGGTAAAGTTCTATTACTTTAAAATTAGTTCTACATATAGTGGTTTTATTTCGAATTTGTTTTTGTTGCACAGAATCCAGAAGCAGACGCCATACCACAGGAAGTCGAGCAGGAACCCGAACCCGAACCCGAACCCGAACCTGATCCAGAGAGCTGCAGTCGCCTTCACATGCTTCGTCTGCAATTATTGGAACGTTTGGTGGAATATTTGCCTAAATTGCGAAATGTGGGTGGCGTTCGTGTTATTCCCTTCCTACAAGTAATACTTCAACTTACGACTGAATTAGACAGTCATATGGAACGCGATAAAACTTGTTTGAACGCCCTTTTGAATGCCATTGTTAATGAACTGCAAATAAACAAACCCGACTTGGAAAACATCAGTGAGAGGACTAAGAGACGCGAAGTTCAAATGGTTCTCATGAGATTGTTAAGTAAGTAATATCAACAGTAAAATGCTAATGTGACTTGTAATTAGTTGTTCATGTAAAAAATATAGAATATGACTTCCGAAATTGCATCAAACTCGAAAAGTGGTCCTTTTTCATACATATTGTATTTAATTGGTTCTAAATGAGTTGAACGTTTTTACTTTTACTGTAGGTGTTTTGATGTCACGTTGTAAGACGACATCTACCACGAGTACTGGAACCCCTGCGAAGCCTATTCCTGGGGACAATTCGGTGTTTGTATCCCAAACAACAGCCACTGTCCTCTATAAAGCGGATATCGTCAACTATTGTCTGAAACTGTTACAGGCTTTATTAGAATATTGGCGTAGTGTCTCCAATGACGATGAGCCTCCCCAAATTGGTGGAAATTTGCTTAAAGAGCATTTGACTCATGCGCCTCCCGATATGACACCGTTTTTCCTTAAACAGTTCGTGAAAGGTGAGTTTTTTAATAACTTGATTTATGATTACTATTGTTTGGTACTATTTAATGTTTGTTTAGGACATTCTACAGATGTGTTTCAAACGTACCCTCAACTCTTAACGGAAATGGCTCTTCGGTTGCCCTATCAAGTGCACAAACATTCAGAAATATCAGAACCGATAATAAGCGTGTTTGATAACGCGTGGTACACACATTTATGCGAATACATGATGACATCACAAGAGCCGTTCGTACGTCGCCAAGTGCGGAAATTGTTATTATTTATTTGCGGAAACAAAGACAAATATAGGCAACTGAGGGACGTACACGCTCTCAGTACTCACATTAAGGTCAGTTAAAAAAATGCGACTTGATTAATGGAGTAGTTTTTTAATTATTTTCTTGTTCTTCAGGCGGTGAAGTTATGTTGCATAAAAGGCGGTTATGATCATTCGAATGAAACTCAGCATGCTCTATCTATGACCTATGATACTCTTGTTGACCTTATTGAACATCTAAAGGCTTGTCTCGAAGTAGCAATCAATCGGACCGGAAATTGGCAGAAGTTTTGCATACATAACGACGACATTTTACCTTTTCTCTTCCAAGTTAGCTGTCTTTTGGATGAAGGTAAATACTATCATTGTTAATTATGTTGGAGATACATATTAATATTGTTTTTACAGGTGTACTTGGTTAACGATTATGGTTTGAATAAATTAATGTATGGTTTTGTTTTAGGAGTAGCACCGACAATCTTGCACTTGCTTCAGTGTGCTATTGTAACGAACGGATCGTCGGGAGTCTCGTCAACTTCTACTGCATCTTCCTCGTCAAAGAAGACGGATGCAAATGTAAAAACGGGCAATGCTAGTGCGGGTGGAACGTCCAGGAAAGAACGCGAAAAGTCCGACGATAGCACGGCCGAAGCAGCCTTCGAAGAGGCAAATTGTGGCGTTCTCGTCGACCACATTAACAAACAAGTACCTCCTGAAGTTTTTGCTCGTTTCATTAGGGCGTTCCTCTTGGAAACAAATGCTACGAACATGCGTTGGCAGGCTCACGCTCTCGTTCTCGCCATATATAAGTAAGTGCAGATATTTTTATATTATAAAAAAATAGAACCTAATTGCTAAAGTCATCATGCATTTAAAGTTTGTTTTTCTTTTGTTGTAAAATTATGTTTTCTAAATATAATATAAGTGTTATAATTTACATTACTGTAATTGGAAACTGAAATAAGTAAAATTTAATTGTTGAAAAATTATAAGTAGAATACATAGGAATTTTTGTTAATCAACAGACTTTTATTATGTCTGTTTTTATTTGAGATTCTTTCTTATTTGATCTAATAAAACTTTTTTGTTATTTATTGTTAGAAATTCGAAAACTACTGAACAGGAACAATTGTTGAAGTTATTGTGGCATTTATGGCCTTTGCTACCAGCCTATGGCCGTAAAGCTTCTCAGTTTGTTGATTTGCTTGGTTATTTCTCGCTGTGCTTCTTGCAGAAGTCAGAATCTTCAGGACTGGTGAGTTTTTACTATAAAACAGTTTACCTTTAAATAAACAAAAGTAATAAGTATATGCACCTTTAATTTTACTTGAACTTACATGTGTGAAGACAAAAAGTATATTTCATAATATTTTGAAGTTCAATTATATTACTCATAATATCTATATAGAGACATGCATTGTGAATTTTTGATGTATAAATGTTCAGTGGGATAAAAAAGACAAGCTTATGTTTGTTTGTACAGATATCAGATTACGTAGAGAAGGCTGTGGATGTTCTAAGGACTCAAAATGAACTCCTAGCTCACCATCCGAATGCTAGCCTTTATATGCAGATGAGTCAGTTCGTTGAACTAGACGGTTATTACCTCGAATCGGAACCTTGCTTAGTCTGCAATAATCCGGAGGTGCCTTTTGCTAGTATAAAACTGAGCTCACTTAAGGTAGCGTACCCAAACAAAAATCAGACTTCTTTATTTTACTGATAATGCAAATGCTTTTTTCGTTTAGGTCGATTCGAAATTTACCACTACAACGCAAATTGTCAAGTTACTCAATAGTCATACAATTAGCAAGATCACCTTGCGTATTGGAGACCTCAAACGGACCAAAATGGTTAGGACAATTAATATTTATTACAATAATCGAAGCGTGCAGGCTGTGGTTGAACTTAAAAATAAACCAGGTAATTATTTTTTAAGGCTTCATAAGAGAGTGTAAAAAATACCGTTTTGCTCAATTTTTAAGTCTACAATTTCCTTCAGCTAGGTTAAAAAAGTATAGAGATGATAAAAGGTTTTCGTACATTAAGTAAATGATTTCTGTGTGAATTCCGAAGACAAGAAATTATATATAGGTCTTCATATTATTACATGCAGTTTTTTATTGTAGCTTTGTGGCATAAAGCAAAGAAAGTGGTGCTGCAAAGTGGTCAAACAGAAGTGAAAATTGAATTCCCCTTACCGATAGTTGCTTGCAATTTAATGATCGAATACGCGGATTTCTATGAGAATATCCAAGCAAGTAGTGAAACGTTACAGTGTCCCAGATGTAGTGCAGCCGTCCCTGCGAACCCTGGAGTTTGTGCCAATTGTGGCGAGAATGTGTTTCAGTGTCATAAGTGCAGGTAAAATAATATTTTAAAATTATTAGCATTATCAAAAATAAATCAAATGCTGTTCATAAACAATGTGAGTGTAATAATAATTTTCCTAAAGTCTAATAATTTTTTAATAACATATGTTATTAGAGCCATTAATTACGACGAAAAAGATCCGTTCTTGTGTCACGCCTGTGGTTTTTGTAAATACGCTAAATTTGACTTTACGTTGGTTGCGAAGCCTTGTTGTGCCGTGGAACCTATCGAGACAGATGAGGACAGGAAGAAGATGATTTCAAGTATAAACAACCTTTTGGAAAAGGCCGACAGGGTTTACAAACAGTTAATGGCCAATAAACCGGCATTAGAGGTGNTATTTCGTAGAATTTTTAATTTTTAACGTATTATTGCTTACTATTTAAAATTATTAGCATATTATTGTCTTATTATTAATTTTAACATTATATTGCCTAGTATTTTCAATTGCATTAAAGCTGCCCCGACGACCAGTGGCCAAGCAAATTAGCCGATTATATTCGTTTCAACGACGAAGCACTTTTAAAAGATTCCGAACGCTTACTTAGCACATACACTGATGAATTGTTGCCTTGCACTTCTTTTCCAGAGTTCTGTGATGTTGCAGGTAATTAATGTTTATTACATTTACTTAAAGAATATTGTGGTATGATCCGTTAATTATTACTTTATCATTACACTTACATTTTATTCATGGAAATAGCTAGTCTGTTGTGAACTTCTTGTTGATAAGTAAGTGTAAAATGATATTAAGCTAATACTCAACCTTAACCGTAGGTTTACTTGGTGATATTCCCGACCCAGATTCATACTTAGAAAATCTCTTTAAGGACTTTTAATTTTCCACTACCACAAAGCTTTAGAATTTAGCATATGGATCGGAAAGATATAATATTTGGAATATATTATTACGTTGCTGTTCCTTTGGAATGTTAGTCACATATAAATTATTGTACTTTAAAATGTAATAAAGTTGTTTAAACCATTAATTCCTTTTTTTCCTTTTAAAAATTCAATAATCTCAATTTTTCACTGCTGCAAATAACCTCAAGTTAATTTATTTAACTGGTGCAACTCGTAATTAGTTTAAATGAGTAATTTCTGTTAAAATTATAGCTAAAATTTTATAAACAAACAACATTATAACCTAAAAATGACTTAATGTCATTTAAGCAGGCTTCGATAATTCAACAAATCTGAAATATATTTATTTTAGGTATTTTATTTAAACAAAATTGATGAAATCCTTTAAAGTTATTATACAAATTAATTATAACCCCTACTTTTGTACCCTCACTATGGTTTATTAATTTTCTTATACATCGATCAGTATAAAAATGTATTTAGTTGATGCACCTCATCAAAATGAACGCACCTTTCGCAAAACAGTAATAATAACACTAAATACCCGATAATACTTATGCTCTCCTAATACAAAATTGCAAAATTTTAAAGTACGCTCAATGAAACATGGATGTCCGGCGCCTTCACCATTTTTTCATATATTTTACAAATTTTTTTTAACAAAGGGCAATTTAATTACACTCTCCTCCTTTATTAATTACGACGAAAAAGATCCGTTCTTGTGTCACGCCTGTGGTTTTTGTAAATACGCTAAATTTGACTTTACGTTGGTTGCGAAGCCTTGTTGTGCCGTGGAACCTATCGAGACAGATGAGGACAGGAAGAAGATGATTTCAAGTATAAACAACCTTTTGGAAAAGGCCGACAGGGTTTACAAACAGTTAATGGCCAATAAACCGGCATTAGAGGTGAGGCATTATTCTTTCTTTGGTTATACATTTTATTTTTCAAAAACTGAATTTATTTTATTGATTATTATAATAATAAATATGTTTTATTGTTTTATTAGTCTCTAGTATTAAAAATAACGGACCATAGAAGTGATAAACAGGAGGAGCAACAGACAGGCTCAAATAATGCCAACAATGTAAGCTCTGTACAGTCCGGGGGGACCCAGGTTAAGGTAATTTTTTCCTTATACATTGACATTACATTATTAATTTTGGCTTCATATTTGTTTTCTGTTTAAGGTTAACAAAACAATCCAAATGCTGGCTCAACAATATTGTAATGAATGTAAAACATCCTTCGAAGAACTAAGCAAAATCATCCAGAGGGTGTTGGTGTCTCGTAAAGAACTCGTCGCTTACGATCGTAGACATATGGAGATGGACTCACCGAAGTCACAAGCTCCTCTTTTAAGTTCACAGGTAACGTAAACGGATAATTAATTTAATTATACTGTTTCTGAAAATCATGGTTTATATATTTTTTTACAGACTGAATCGCAAGGAATGTCCAGTATAAGTAGCACAAGTAGTCGATGCTACGGATGTTCCGCTGCAGCCACAGAACACTGTCTTACACTTTTAAGAGCTCTGGCTGCGAATTCCAATACTAAACAAGTCTTATGCTCAAAAGGACTCATACATGAATTGGTTCAGAACAATTTAAGGAAAGGAAATGTACAAGTAAGTTTTTGGGTTTGTTTTTGCTTCTACTATTATATATATAAAAGAAATTATGGGTGCTGTCAGCACAGGGCAAAGTAATATTACGTAGTATCAGCAATTTCTTATGCGAAGTGTACGATGTGTTGCATACCTATTTACAAACAATTCCTTTAAATTTAATTTTTCAAACAATTTTTAAAACAAAGATAGTGATTAAACAATTTGTTCACAAAAGTGAATTTCGATCACTCGAAACAATGGTGCTAACAGTTTCGAGCTCACAGTGACTGATAGGGGGGAAAAACTAGTATTGTTAATATTCTTTATTTTCGTATTTTTTAATCATAAAAATTTATCTGTTTCTTATTTTCCTTCTTATCTCCTGTTATTTTTATGTTAAAGCGTGAGCGACTAATAGATAGTAATTAGTAGGGTTGAAAGTTTTTTTGTTTTTTCTTATTTAAAATATTTTCGTCTTTTAGATGCAGGAAGAGGTAAGACAGTTATTGTGCATTTTGACGAGAGACAATGCCGAAGCAACGGAAGAACTTTGCAATTTGTTAACGGAACGGATTACTTTGAGCCTTAAAGGACACACCAGTAGCTCAGATTTAGGCACAGGAGTCCGTCATGAGATCGAGCTTTTGGCTGCAATGGTGCAGAAAGAAGACAACTGTTGGGAATTGAAGTTACGCTGTTTAATGAGACTCTTCATAAGGGCTTGCGAGGACTCTCGCAATCCTCTTGTGATGGAATCAGTCATACTACCCTGCTTGAAGATTTTGCAAAGCTTAATGAGGACTAACGACGGTGGAAATAAGAAAACGAAGGTAATAAAATTATTTAAAAATAATCCAAATTATTTATTCTTTTCTGTGAATCAGGAAAAATTAAATAAGACTTTGACCATTCGAACAACGTCTGGAATAAACGTGGACGTGTACAAGTGGCTGAAAAAAGATCCCGTGCATAGTTTTTCTAGTTGGAAGGCTCGTACGCCTGTAAAAACCGACGAAGGACCCCGAGGACTTCCTAGTAGTCGCGAAGAGGTATTTTTTTCCATATTGTTAGTAATTAAATTTATGTTTATTTATTTGTGTTGTTTTTAGGTTCGAATGTATTATTTGGCAGAAAAATACGGACGTAGATGGAAAAGGAAAGTAGAAAAGACGTTTTCGATAGAACCTCTTGGATTAGATTATTCATCCTGGTTGAAAGTTGTACTCTTTAATCCGAGTTCTCGTTTAGCACGCCAGGTCACTTGTAATATTATAGAGAACATGTGTACTTCTTCAGAAAGAAAGAGGGAGGTGAGTTTTTGGTAAAACAAAAAAGAACTTTGTCCTTGTAGGCCACTATAAGTAAGATTGATATTTGAAGTCTTCATTGTGTCCTTCTTTAATACATTATTAATTTACAATTGGAATTAAACGTATCATTTCAGCATTTTATGTATATTATATTGAGTTTTGTTGTTATTAGATTCTCCTATTGCTGACCTATTTCCTCGACCAACTCGGCACTGCAGGAGAGAGTTCTGCTGAATTCCTAAACTTGTATCAGAATTTAATCCAGGAGGAGCCCTGGAAACAATTCTTAACCATGGTTGGCCTTTTGGAGGTACTTGCTCATTTTATTACCAAAGAAATCGAACAATTGCACCGTTTGGAAGAAACAACTTTAACTTCAGACTTAGCCCAAGGCTACTCTCTTAATCAATTGACTGAACTTTTGGCCTCGTTCCTTGACGATCCTTGCATCCGTAGACAGTACAAAGGACGTTTAGTAGGTGCTGTATTAAATGGGTATTTGTCCCTGAGAAGATTAGTTGTGCAAAGGACCAGACTTATTGATGATACACAGGAAAAACTTCTAGAACTTTTGGAAGAAATGACTACAGGTAGAAAATATATGTCGATAATTTGAATGCTAGATTTTCTAAACGATTAAGTGTTTATTTACAGGCACTGAAGAAGAAACGGAAGCTTTCATGGCTATTTGTATCGAGACGGTGGAGAATTGCAAGGTTCAAGACGTCTTGACGCCTGTCTTTATATTTGAGCGTCTTTGTTCTATTATTTATCCCGAAGAGAACGACGTAGGGGAGTTCTTTTTGACGTTGGAAAAGGATCCTCAGCAGGAGGACTTCTTGCAAGGGCGGATGCTGGGTAATCCATACTCCAGTCTTGAGCCTGGTCTGGGGCCGCTTATGAGAGACGTTAAAAATAAAATTTGTCAGGATTGCGAATTGGTCGCCCTTTTAGAAGACGATAATGGAATGGAATTGCTGGTAAACAACAAGATTATGAGCCTGGATTTACCAGTTAAAGACGTTTATAAGAAGGTATAATGTTTTTGCGGTTGTTTAAATTATTTTTAACATATTTTTTCTTTTCATCTCTACATTTTTATTTTAATTTTCTTAATATATTCAGGTTTGGTTGGCAGAAGGAGGCGAGGCGGAGTCGATGAGAGTTGTATATCGAATGAGAGGTTTGTTAGGAGATGCTACTGAAGAGTTTGTAGAAACGTTGAACAATAAATCACAAAATGCTGTTGATAACGAAGAAGTTTATAAAATGGCAAACGTTCTAGCAGATTGCGGAGGCCTGAAGGTATCGTTTTTATTAAAATAAATGCCTATTTACTCTTCCTTTTTATAATCACGTTTATTTATTAAAAAATGTTTCAGGTGATGGTTAAACGTTTAAACGCCATTCAAAATGTGTGGCGCGCAAGACCATTGTTACAAGTTCTTTTGAAATTGTTTAGGCTGTCTGTAAAAGTTCAGAAGGTACAAGAAGTTCTCATCGATCCTGAACTACGAGCTGCAGCTGTGTTTCTACGTACTCTGCAACTTTGTCTGGAGAGCGAATCTGATAGCAACCAAACTGCTTTAACTGAGCAACTTTTAGAGGTAAGTTAAAGATAATTATAAAAGTTTTAAGAAGAATTGTTCATTTCTGTTGATAAATTAAATAAATAATAAAAATGTACTTAATTAAATTTAGATAATGGAAACAATATTTTCGAAGGCTACTAGTAAATCGAAAGAGTCATTTGATGAGTTTGCGCGTACCCTTGGAGGCCCCGAACATGTTCGTTCTCTTTTGTCTTTCACTTGTCACCCTAGTGTCCGTAACAACCAACCAGTTCTCTTGCACTTGACAAGAGTCCTTGCTGCTCTTGTATACGGCAATGAAGAAAAAATGCGAGCCCTCGTTGCTCATTTTGAACCTGTTTTCAACTTTTATCGGTTTGACGCGGACCACAGTGCCGACGACCAGCACAAATTCGAAATATTTTGTATGCTCACAGACGGTATCGAGAGAAATGCAATTGGAAATACGTTGCGCGATTTCATCAATTCTATCGGTGTAGTTGACGACGCTTTACAATATATCACCACAAACGCGCCCTGCGTGAAACCGACCCTGCTGCGTACTGACAGTGACGAACTTAAGGAGTTTATTTCGAAGCCAGCCCTAAAGTATATACTCAGATTTTTGACTGGGTTGGCCAGTGGACATGAAAAAACACAGGTAAGGCTTTTCTATTTAAATACTGAGAATCTTTTTTAGGACATTCTTATTATATAATTGGAGAAAAAGTATTTAAAAATTAAACGATCTTTTCCTTTAAACAACAGTTAGCAATTGCTGCAGCGGATACAATACCGATAATACATCGATTGGAGCAAGTGTCCTCAGACGAACACGTCGGTTCCTTAGCTGAAAATCTCTTAGAAGCACTTAGAACTAATCCTTCGGTTGCTACCCGCATTGAAGAAGCTCGAGAGTTCACTAGATCAGAGAAAAAGAGACTTGCAATGGCCATGAGAGAAAAGCAGCTTGGGCAGCTTGGAATGCGCACAAACGACAAGGGGCAGGTAAGTAACAGTAACAAAAATAAAATAATGCGGTTTTGTTAATTTTTATGATTTTTTCAAAGGTTACAGCGAAGTCCTCGATTCTACAGCAGATCGAAGAACTAGGAGAAGAGACTGGCCTGGTGTGCTGTATTTGTCGCGAGGGATACAAGTATCAACCTGCCAAGGTATTGGGAATTTATACGTTTACAAAGAGGTGCAACGTGGACGAGTTCGAAGCAAAACCAAGAAAAACAATGGGCTACAACACCGTTACTCATTTCAACATAGTTCATGTCGATTGTCATATGAGTGCCGTTAGGTAACTGCAGAATATTTTATAGATGTTATAATAGCGTCATTACTGTTTTTATTCTCATCGTTGATTAGTTTTTAAAAACTTAACAGCATTTTAATTAAAGCCGAAAATAACTACATCTTTTTACCATAACGATACATAAAAAAAATACTTTCAGACTGGCGCGAGCTCGTGACGAATGGGAATCTGCGGCTCTTCAGAATGCTAACACGAAATGCAACGGTTTACTACCATTATGGGGTCCTCAAGTACCGGAATCAGCGTTTGCCAGTTGCTTAGCCCGTCACAACACTTATTTGCAAGAAAGCACTAACCATCGCGATATAGGTCATGTATCTACTATACATGATCTCAAGTTGCTCCTGCTACGTTTCGCGTTTGAGAAACCTTTCCACGAAGACACGGGGGGCGGAGGACCACAAAGCAACATGCATCTTGTGCCCTATGTAGTGCATATGGCTTTGTATGTTATAAACACGTAAGCATTTTAATTTTCTTTTTTTAATAGACAATTTGTACTCATTTGTTTTGCATTTGAGAAGTAAATTGTGTACAATGTTGTCATATTGCTACAGAACAAGAAGCGCTAAAAAGGAAGAGCAGAGCCTTATGTCATATTTAGAGACAGATAATAAGGAAAAGTGGATCGAAACCTCGTACGAAGCAGATGGGCCTCTCTTCTGGATTACGATGTCTATCTGCTTGCACAGCAGGGAAAAATGGGCAGCAGTGAAGCTTCTGCATTTGCGTAGACTGTTAGTATTAGCACAGACGCGACACTGTTCACCTTCAAGTGCATGCAAGACTCTGTTCGACAAGACCGTAAAGGAGTACTCAGTTTATAAGCCGTATTTGGTGCTGTTTGGACTCGTTGATGGAATATATAACAATTTCTTTAAGGTTATTATTTTTTAAACATAAAGATAATCCGGTGTTATTTTATTCTTAATTAAAATTTAATGGTTTACTTTTCCAGAGCTTAAGCTGCCCCGATGACCAGTGGCCAAGCAAATTAGCCGATTATATTCGTTTCAACGACGAAGCACTTTTAAAAGATTCCGAACGCTTACTTAGCACATACACTGATGAATTGTTGCCTTGCACTTCTTTTCCAGAGTTCTGTGATGTTGCAGGTAATTAATGTTTATTACATTTACTTAAAGAATATTGTGGTATGATCCGTTAATTATTACTTTATCATTACACTTACATTTTATTCATGGAAATAGCTAGTCTGTTGTGAACTTCTTGTTGATAAGTAAGTGTAAAATGATATTAAGCTAATACTCAACCTTAACCGTAGGTTTACTTGGTGATATTCCCGACCCAGATTCATACTTAGAAAATCTCTTTAAGGACTTTTAATTTTCCACTACCACAAAGCTTTAGAATTTAGCATATGGATCGGAAAGATATAATATTTGGAATATATTATTACGTTGCTGTTCCTTTGGAATGTTAGTCACATATAAATTATTGTACTTTAAAATGTAATAAAGTTGTTTAAACCATTAAT